GAAGCAGGTGGTTCGACGGCCGTCTGACGGTCTCCGGGCATCGCGTGCGATTCCAAGTCCTCCAGTGGCCGCAGTGCTGACGGGCCTTCAGCCTGGTCTGAAAAGGCCCCGGCCCCGTCTGCTCCCCGCCCATCCCACCTGCAGTGGTCAGCGCAGTCGCAGGACAGGCCGAGCCCCCGCTGGGAAGGCTCAGGTCTGGTCCGGCCTCGGGCCCCGGGTCAGGACCGGGCGTCCAGGGGGTCACCCAGCTCAGGCCTCCCAGGCTGTGGTTTTCCACCTCCAAGTCTGGAACCCTGTGCTCCACACAAACTCGCCAACAGTGCAACAAACACACAGACAAAACAAGAGCGAAGCCCTCAGCAAGGTCCCGGGGCCGGCGAACACCCCCTGACGGTGTTAGATTTCAGCAGAAAGAAAAACAGAAGGAGGCTCAAGCCTCGAGGAGGAAGGAGACGCTGGGACAAGAGCCCACGTGGCAAATGGAGAGCCGATCCGTTTAGGCTGTTTCTGGGGACCCGACTCTACGCTCCTGGGCTGGGCTGGGCTGGGCTGGGCTGGGCTGGGCTGGCCCCCTCTTTGGGGGGCAAGGGGGGCAGAGCAGGACCCGGGCAACACGTCCACGTTCGCGGGGACTGGTCAGAGCATGCTCATGGAGTCCCGCTGCCACCACCGAGGCCACGGACCTGGCACCACAGACGGCTGGGCGGACGCAGACGTGGCAGGTGGGACCTCCTGGCCGTTCGAGTTCTGGGAACCGGTCAGACCCTGAGCAGGACTGCCGGCCCCCAGCTGCGTGCAGCCCGGCCTCGGCCTCTCCCTGAAGGTGGGCGCCGTCCTCCCCGCCCCCCGCCACGGCCCCCTGACTACCGAGTCCCTGTCTGGTCAGGACCCTCTCCCTGTCCCTCCTGACTCTCCACCAAAGGTTGGCCCAGGCCTGGCCGGTGTGGCTCAGTGGATAGAGCGTCGGCCCACGGACTGCAGGGTCCCGGGTTCGGCTCCAGTCCAGGGCACGTACCTCGGTTGCAGGCTCCTCCCCGGCGGGGCCCAGGCGGGAGGCAACGATCAATGTGTCTGTCTCACATGGGTGTTTCTCTCTCTGCCTCGCCCCCTCCCTTCCTCTCCCTGAAATCAGTGAATCCTCGGCCGAGGGCCAGCAGAACGGGGTAAAGTGGTGACATGACTCCCAGAGCTCAGTCTCTGTGGGAACAAATGAGCTCGACTGACGAGCAGGTATTCTAAACGGCTTTATTTCTCTTTACATGTAAGTCCGTAAACATGGCTTATCTCTGCATTCATGGGGGGGTGTCACGGGCGAGGACGGGATCCGTGGTGCTCGGTCGGGCCACAGGAGCAGGGACATTCTGTGGGGCCCGGCGTCTGCTCCGCCGTCCCACAACCGTCTTTGGGAGTCAGGGGGCCAACCAGGTCCCTCCAGGGGCCCCACTGCGAGTCAGTGGCCTCGCCACATTCAGGGGTCGGTGAAGGTGCTCACCTGGGAGCGGTTTAGGCCGAGACTGTGTGTGTGTGTGTGTGGGGGGGGGTGGGAGTCGGTGGTTTTAGGATAAAAATGAGTCTACAAAACATAAAAAATAACGAACCCAAATCCAGTGAATGCGTTCGTTCAAGTCAGGATTAGGGAGTCTGGGATCCAAAATGAATACGTGTTCTCTAACTTGAGAATTTGTCATTGTATGTTTTGCACAAGGTCAAGGACGGCAGAGAAGGCCCGGGGGCTGCCGGCGGGCACGCTGTGCGGCTGGCGGGCCTGGAGTCCTGGCCGCCCCCCCCGTGGGGTCTGCGTGGCTGTGCTCCCCGAGAGCAGCTCCCCCTGCACAGCCCCTGCGACGGCCAGGACGCCGACACTGCGCGTGCCCCTGTGGCGGCTCCCACGGTGGGCACAGACGAGGCCTGGCCACGGCGCACGGCTCGGGTTCAGGTATTTATTTAGGTAGAAAAAAACGCTTTGAACACTCCGGGGAAGTAGGACTCATTATAGAAGAATATTCCAGGGAAATAGTATTATTATTTTTTTGCATTTTCAAGGATATACATTCGTACTGATTTTTGCTTCCAAATATATTTTAAGGCTGTTTGGTAAACTATATACCGGATATGAGGTTCAATTTACAGGGTGCTGTTCTTACAGGGAGTTCTTAACGACTCAGCTTTAAAAAAGTAAAACTGTTTGAAGCGAGACAGA